GTTTGGAAGGTAAGAGCATTTTGTTTGTACTTCGTTAGACGAAAATTAATTACTGTAACTTTGTCTTATGCTAATTATTATCAAGGTTCAGACACTATTATTGATAGATTAGAAAATTTGAATATATATCAATTATTGAAATATGATTTTTTATAATATTTTTTTACAATACAAAGAACCATTTATGTTTCTTATGATTAAAATTCTAAGGAAGATGTGTTTTTGTTACTACAAAAAGTTATTATTGAGTAGGATAGAGGAAGGAAAAGAGAAAAAGAAGAAAAAATAATAAATTAAAATATAAAATAAATACTACAATAAAGGATAGAGGCAATATTAAAAATATGAATATTTATTTTGATAATGATGAAAATAAGAGGAAAAACAACAACAATGAATGAATAAAATCGAAACCTCTCTTTCACCAAAAATATTGTTATTATTATTATAATAATAAAAAGAATTTTTTTAATTACTATTTTTGCATTCAATTTTATTCTTTATTGTAAAAATCTAAATGTATATAAATAAAGACATTGTAAGACTTTTTAGAAATGATCACATTAGAGTTTGAAAAATTGTGCATTAATTTCGTTTTTTTTCTTTTTCTTAATAATTAAGATCATAAGAATGATGTTGCATTATTTTTTTATTTATATTCTCTCCATTTTTTTTGTTTTATACGATTTTTTATTATCGTAAGTTTATAAATTTTTTTGGTCCAAAGTAACAACTTATGACTTTGTTGGAAGTCATATAATTACTGATCAAACATTTCTCTTTATCAAATCACTTATACGTCTGAATATATATAATATATATGCACATATTATAAATATTTCTTCTATCTATATTATATTACATTTTCATAAACTTATTGACATCTTATCATCTTTTTAACCGCGCGAAGCGCGGATAAGTTTCCTAGTTATGTATAACTTGAAAAGGAGGTGAGGGTTATACATATAGGTATATATGTACGCATTTTGGGCAGCCAACCTTTTTTTGGGCAGCCACCTTTTGGAGACAGTTGTTCATGTGATAAACATCACTCTTGAGACTATATTTTGACACCTCCTCTAGTGAAATTCGTTTCCCCTGAAGTCTAAGAACCTTAGAACTTTATCTAACCATTTGTTCTTCAAAATCACAAGAGAAAAACTTGATCCTTTTGGCTGGAATTCGAGACACACCCTTCTCTTTGGTAAGTGATAATCTATGTTTCTAAGCTGGATAGTGTTTGGTATTTTATGCATATCTGGATCTCTAGAACTTCGTTTATAGTGAATAAATATTATTTGGAAAGCTAATTTGTATATCTACAACTCTTACGTTTATGTAAAACTCTAATTTAGCTGTTATGGATTCGAAATATGGGACGCAACATAGGACAAGTTCTGTCCAGATTTCGGAATTTGAAATCCTGTATGAACAACTGTTAGTGTTTTGAATATATCTTTTTGTACATAATATATTTTGCGATGATTTTTGGTTATTTGCAACCTTAAGAGATGTACCTACATCTTTCATGAAGGCTATGAAGTCCAGTTTTGCATTTTTCCTTTTCAAATCTAAGTTGCTACATGATGTACTAGACTTGCCAGGATCACTGTTTTGGGAGCATAGTCGTATTTGTATAGGCGAAGCTTACTTGTGATGATAATCCTGTTTTACATCAACATTATTGAGCTACTAGGAATTAAAGAAGTTATTTAATTTTATTTTAAGGTTGTATATACTCGTGAATAAGTTGAGGACCTTGATACGTTGGTTGGTCTACGGTTTGAACTCTTGAAGTTGTGTTGGACTGTTTCTAAGCTAAGCACTGAGGTTTGTGTATAAACTTGTACTTGTACTCTTTTTACCTGCTGGTATATCTGAAAGTTTATCTTGGTACCTTGGTTACCCCTTGTCACTTTGCATTGTCGTGTTGGTATCCTTTAAGACATTAAAGACGCTTGTGTAACTCGCCCACTTGTACGGATTGTTTGATCACTTGGTACTCTTGTTGGGACCTTGTCCTTCTTGTGGCTGTGACTTTGTCACTATTGTCATGCCTCTTGATTCAGATCATTTGCCATCTTGACTCTGGATTTTTAGTCCGTCTTAAGAATGGAAGTTGTCCATTTTAAGTACGAACTACAAAGCCATTTTTAATATGGTTCTTGGTTCTCTTGATTATTGGGTTTTGACCCTTCTTGATACAGGGCGTTGGCCCACTTCTTGATACCTGCTTGTGCTTGGTGTGACGACGTGAGCCTTGTTGTTGAATCTCTTGGGAAATGATGCTATGAGTGTTCTTGACATTTAGATCTCTAAATATCAAACTTGATACTCTTTATATATTGTTTATTTGTTATGTTTCAATTGTGCTGCCTATGACTAGAGAAAGGTAGCTTTGTGAATCTGAGGGTGATAGTTGTTTCTATTGTAGGGAATAATCGAGAGGAGGCTTGAAGCTGACAATTGGAGATGGAGATTTTGAGAGCCTTAAGGAAGATCACATTTGCATATAGGCATCTATATTTTGTATAATCCTTGGGACTTGTACATGATCTATGTATTGTACATTTACATGAGCTTTGAAGGCTAATTTGATCATGTCACTATGGGTTGTAATATAAGTGTGACTATATGTTTTGTTCTTTCTGGGGGTGTTTTAACCCAAGTCTTGTAATATACTAAATTTACTATTGGTTTGGATGTTTGTGTGAAGCATGAACCGGTTAAATTTGGTACTCGAAAGTTGGTAATATTTTTTTTATATCATTTTTAAGTGAGAGGATAATAAATGCATGAAAATCTCGGAAGTTATTTGCTTAGATTATTTTGGAAGGGTTTGTCCGCCATAAGTTAAAATTCTGCGCAATATCAATTTGACATCAAATAAATGTTTAAATGGGCAGGATGCACATACTTAACTATTCCTTTTTTTTTCTTTATGAACCTAATCCCTCTACTAAATTATAATCAATGTGGCCATCATTAATCTCTTTTAAATGTCGCAAGTATTTAATTAGATTTCTTGTTTAAGTGGTAGTATCCTTTCGAAAGGGTCGCTACAATGTAAAGGGAAATGCAAATGATTTTTTCACGAAAATTGGTTTTAATTTTTTATTTTTTTAATTATAATGTTCAATATTGATTAAAGTGAAATAAAATAATAAAATTCACTATTAAAATTTATTGGGGCCTCAAAATTTTCGGAGACCTAAGCAGGATGCTCTGCTAACCTTACCCTTAAGTCACTCCTAGCCTTACCCTTGAGCCACTCTTAATGGTGCCCTCCCCCCCCCCCCCCCCCCCCTTATCTTCAAATCCTGGGTTCGCCTCTGAGTACCACCACTTCATTTCCTTCCTTTTGATGGAGGATTTATAAATTTATCAAATTATTTGGTAAGACAACAACCATGTGTTCAATGACCTTTCATGTCATTTTGATGACAAGAATTACCTTCACATTTTGAAGGACTATTTGGAGAACCCATAGTATTTTTCATTTTGACCACAATGATGATGATTATTGTTTTGTACTTTGTAATGCTCATGTTTGTATACGTTCAATCACCTGTCATCTTTCATACATGTTATGCGTTGCTACCATATTCACATAAGAGAATGGAGAAAATTAATTGGACGGACTTCATGACTTTTAGTCAAAAATATATTACTTTGTGTTAGTCATCATTATATCATCACTATGGTGCATTAAGACTTAAACCCAACGTCTTACCCATATATATGTGTTTAGGCCATAATTTGGTGGGACTCAAACCCAATACCTTATCATCATGGTGCATCAAGACTCTAACCCAATGTCTTAACCTTTTGATGCGATAAAACTTGAATTCATCGTCTTATTCTCAGGCATTGACATAATAGATCAACCAATTTTATGTACTGACAAGCAATAATTAAAGTAACAGTAATAAAAGAATAATTGTGTAATATGATTTAAATGGATAAATCAATATATATGGACAAGCTTGATAGCTAGTCTAACTTTAATTCAAATACCACAAAGTGCTACTTAATAAATAAACTACAAATTGATTCTATTAGCATAAATAATATATTATAATAATTTAACAAATAATTAATAACATTGAAATTGTGAGAGATAAAGAAAAAGCAGATGCAATCAAAGAAGATTTTGCTTTAGAAAGGCAACCTTAGCTAATTGCTATATATTTTTTCATGACATACTAGTTTATAAAAGACCATAAGTTAGTGAGGTCTTACCTGGTTGAAGTGAAAGTATCAAAGAAGAAAAGAGTGCATAGTAGCTGTACTAGTTATTTACCTTGCTTATGAGAGAAAATCTAACACAATTTTAAAATGATAAATTGATTAGAATTTCGTGCTGATAACGTGTTGTAAAATTAAGTTAAAAGAGTGATAATATAAGCAAGAAATATATAAGACGAGAGCAATAGAAATAGGGAGAGAAGAAATTAGAGTTTTTCTTATTTTTCCAAGTATTCAAGTGTATATAATATGAACTCCTATCTCTCTATTATAGTGTTACATAGGCATACAAAAGGTTAGTCATAAACATGACATTAATCATGAATATAAAAGAGGAGAAATGTAAAGTTACAAGAATATTGGTTATAAAGGGGATGTTTTCTTCATAATGAAGGGAAGTAATAAATATAATTAGGGAGAGTAACTTCCTAATGTAGTGGACATCCACACTATAATATTTTATAACACAAACATAAATATATTAATTTTTAACAAACAAAAATTTTAAGTACTCTTTTTGAATTGTATATTTATTATGTTTAAAAACAAATAAATTATTCACCTTCAAATATAAAAAAACAAATTATTGTAATCTTAAATGTGGACTAAATTTCTTGTGTTTAACAAAAGATGTTTGGAAAGAAAAGGAAAAAGCTGAGTCATGGGAGAGTCATAGAGGTGTCATAATTCTGGTAAAACCATTTTCTTCCATATCCCACTTTTCTGTCTTTCTTCTCACACCACACCCCGATCTATCAACACAAAGAGAACAAACTCCCTTCACGCCTATTGCCGATTCCCTTCCTTTCCCTCTTCCGCAGATCTCCAAACCCACCCAATTCTTGTATCAATTTCTCAGTTACCTGTTTGTATTTTCTGCTCCCCGGTATCTCTGTAGAAGCAGCTTTTACTTGCGACGAAGCATTTTTTTTTCAGGTGTATGTTAAAGCTAGTGTATATATGAAAGAGTGACGAATAGGGTTTTGGATTTTTTTTTTGTGGTTGGTTGATGGTATGGATACGCAAAGCTGGAAAGATGTGTACAAGGGCATGTCGTCTGACAATATCAAAGGATTGGTTCTCGCATTGTCCTCGAGTTTATTCATTGGTGCTAGCTTTATTATTAAGAAAAAGGGGTTAAAGAAAGCTGGTGCTTCTGGTGTCAGAGCTGGTACAACATTTATACTGCCTTTTAAATCTTGAAATTGATAAACAATATTCATTAAGTTTGTACCCAATTGAACTGTATTGCTTTATTTGATTTTATTTTGTGTGTCTTTGTGAATTTCTTTGCGACTTTTGCTGCTTAGGCTATGATGATCTTTATTGGTGAGATTCATTTTTATGGTGGAAACTAGCTGCTTGTGAATGTTTATGGCTAAACAGGTGCATAGATGAGTTTTGAAATGAACTATGCATAGAGATCATAAGCTTTTATCAGTTACGAGTTCAACTGGTGAAGTTCTGAATGTGACAAGTGGCCTCATTTACAATATGGTTATCGACTGAAAGTTAGAAAGTGAACCAAGGTTTTTTTTCTTCGTTATTTGACCACTCCACTTTAGACACGATCAGCTTAAGGGCCTAGACTGCATGTTGCTCAGTTCCTTGATACAGTTTCTAAACTGAACTTTAATTACAATAAAGATGTGCTCAAAGTCTTATGGGATTGTGGCATAATAGTAGCAGTCAATATTGTTGTATCAGTTAAGTAGTAGGAAGAGTTGTCAGGTAAAGGAAAAATAAGGTGCTATATAACCAATTGAAGGTGATAACTTGTGGTTTATGATTTTATAAGCAGGTATATTAGTCTGGAATTTGTCTCATGGGAATTGAAAATCAGCTAGAATTCTTATCTAGATTTATTGGTCCAGTACCCAGTTTCCCCCTTAGTCTACAAGAAGCCTGCTATCTCATCTTTGTCACCGGTGACAATCTAGTGTTGGGTCTAAATTACAGACAGTGCTGAGGATTTTCTTAATATTAACCTTTTCCTACTGGAATGTGGGGATGATGCTTAACTCTTCAGATAGCTGCCCCTGCTCTTGCTGTTACTTGGCCATGATCCTCATCTTATTGTCCTTTCGATGCTATATGGACTTTGTTGAATCCAGTGAATATGAAATATTAGAATGATCATTGCTGTTTTAAGTGGTATTTTGGATTGAAATTGGTATCCTTTGGTAGATTGGTGAATGCAATGTAGCCTCAAATGGTCAATTGATAAGTCCATCTATAAATCATTGCTAACCCTGTTTGCATTTGTTGTTTCTTAGTACTAGAGTTGCTCGGTTTCAATTTTTGTTTATTGCTTAAAACATTTATTTGGAAGGTTGTTCTTTACTTAACAACTATCATCCACTTAAGGGCAGCATGCCTAATGCTTTATCTTGGAACTTATATTTATAAAATTTAATGTGTGATATTTGGTCTTTCATGTACATTCACATTAGCTTTTTAGGACTTTTATACTTACCAAGTGCCCTTTCAATCCCCCTCATGGTTTATAGTGCTTTTCTTTCAAAACACCATTTGGTGATACATTGTTTGTGTGACTTGACATAATTTATTTTTACAGGTGTTGGAGGATACTCATACCTGAATGAGCCACTTTGGTGGGTGGGCATGATAACAAGTGAGTTATATACTCCAATGCATTTAATGGATTCACTTCTTATCCCCTGTATAATTTTTTTTTTTGAAACTGGTAAATGTGTATTCCTCAGCATTAAGGACATGCTGGACACCATCAAAAAGTGTTAGATAAAAAAAAAACAACAACTAAAAAACAAGATACTTACAGAGATCTTAATATATCTACAAACTGATCTATATCCTCTAAACCTACTTCTTTACACCAAAAGTAGAAAGATATTATACAATTCCATTTAACTTTCTGGATGGAATTGGATCTATCTTCATAACACCTCCCATTTCTCTCTCTCCAAACTGTCCACCAGATGCATTGTGGGATGATCCTCCACCACTTCTTTTGACTTTTGCTGCCTCCTCTTTTCATCCAGCAACTAAGCAAATCTGCAGTATGCTCCGGCATAGTCCAACTTGTCTTTGTTATGTTGAGAAATAGAGACCAAAGTTGTGCTGTAAAGGTGTAGTGCAAAAATAGATGACTGTTTGTTTCAATTGTCTCATTGCATAAGAAGCACCTGGAAACTATGATGGCCCCTTTCTTCTTCAAAACTTCTTGTGTCAGGCATACTCTTTTAACCACCAGCCAAGTAAAGCATTTTACCTTGGTTGGGGTTGGACTATTCCATAAGTTTCTCCATATTTTTGGTTGCCCTCTACACTGTACCCTTTCTTCCATTTTATAAACCCTTTTAACAGAGAATTGCCCATCGATGTTGTGTTTCCATCTTAATGTATCTGGTTCAGCAGTAGTGCCATTGAAATCATCAATCCTATTTAGCAAATCGGCTACTCTATCGATCTCCCAGTCATTTAGCAATCTCCTGAAGAATAAGTTCCATCCCTGTGCACTCCACATATCATAAATGGTGCCATCTGGGTTGTTGCTTAGAATAAACAGGTCTGGAAAAATCTCCATTAATGGGCTTTGCTCCTTCCAAGCATCCTTCCAAAACTTTATTCTTTTCCCATCTCCAACTCTCTTCTGCAAGTTCCCTTCCAGTTTGGGCCATAGAGCTCTAATGGTCTTCCAAACTCCAACCCCATAAGTATCAGTGCTCACATTGGTACACCATGGGTTGAGTTCACCAAACTTGTGTCTAATTACCTCCCTCCATAATGCATGATCCTCCCTATTGTATCTCCAGAGCCATTTCATCAATAAACTATTGTTCTGTACTCTTAGATTTCTGATGCCCAAGCCACCTTGTTCTCTACTGCGCATTGTTGTCTGCCAATTGACTAGTTTATATCCTTTGCCCTCTTTACAGCCATGCCACAGAAAATCCCTCCTAAGTCTGTCCAACTTTTTCACAACTTTGGGAGGTATGGGAAATAGAGACATTACATACGTAGGGAGTGCATCAAGAACAGAGTTGATAAGGATGAGCCTCCCACCTAGTGATATGTACTGTGCCTTCCACCTAGCCAATCTTTTTTCAGTTTTCTCTAATATTCCATCCCAAATTTCCCCTGCTTTGTGTTCACTGCCCAGAGGCATACCAAGGTATGTAGTTGGCATATTTTCAACTTTGCACCCTAAAATGATTGCCAGATCTTGGATATTTGGCACCTCTTTTATCGGGAACAAACTGGTTTTTCCCCAGTTAACTTTCAAGCCAGAAGAAGCTTCAAAAATAGTCAAAATCATTCTGATGTAACCTATTTGTTCAACCTTTGGCTCACAAAATATCACAGTGTCATCTGCATACTGTAGGTGACATACCTCCATTATTTCCCCTCTGCTATTTCCTATCTCAAACCCTTTAATCCATCTATTTTGTAATGCTATCCTCATCATGCTATCAAATCCCTCCATTGCTAGTATAAACAGGAAAGGAGACAGAGGGTCACCTTGTCTAAGACCCCTTTCAGAACCAAAAAAACCTACAGGTTCACTATTCACCAAAACAGAGAACTTGACAGTTTTAATGCAGAAGTCAATCCATTTCAACCATTTCTCACCAAAGCCCATTTGACTGAGAGTATTTAACAAGAATCTCCAGTTGACATGATCATAGGCTTTTTCCTTTTAACTATAAGTCACATATTCATTAAAATGTTTTTTTGATGACAAGGGAAACCGCAACTGCTACTCTTTGGGTGCGCATATGGTAAAACCCTCACACCTATGCAATAGCTCGCAAACCATGTAGGAGAGGTAACCCGCACTAGGCAAGCCCGGTGCGACGAGCTCGACCCAGAAGGCAAACCCCTTGCTTTCGCTGGCTAGGGGTTTCGAACTTGAGACCTTCAACATGGAAGTCCCAAGCCCAAACCACTGGGCCACCCCGAAGGATCATATATTACTTAAAATGTTTCCCAGATAAGTTAAATATTAACTTTGTTCAATGCATCTATCATGGTCTGTCATATTGAAAGTTATATAAAAGGATAGATTTAAATTTTAAAATTTTATTAGGATAGCCATTATTAATTGGTAGGAAGAGAAATAATCAATACATAAAAAATTGAATCGAAAATGAAGAGTTGAACCTTAGTATTGTGATCTGCTTTGGGACGTCAATGAATGATCATCTGGCATTTGCAACTAATATATATGATAATCAAAATCACATTCAAATTTTAACAAAAAGAGTAATAAAAATAGAATATAGAGATTTAGTAATCTTTGCTTTCTTCTCCAATATGTCATTATGCAGTGCATTAACAAATGATAACCATATAGATCGGAAAAACAACTGTCTTTAGATGCGACATCTCTTTTCATAAAGAATTTACCCTTTTTGAATTTTCCTAAGAAACTACATAAAATATATATATATATATTTTTTTTTTTTTTCTTTTTCTGATGAAGTAAGAAGAATGTCATTAACAAAGCATCAAGCAGATGCACAGATTACAAAAGAAAGAAATATCAGCTCCCAAAAAGGCAAAAAAAGCTATCTAAACAGCTAACAGCAGAGATCTATGGAGCTGATAAATTCTAGGAAAGAATCGACACTAAGTACAGGAGAGAGATTAACCCAACCAAAAAGAGTAATCAAACATCTTGCTTTAAAGGTAGAGATGGGAGTTGGGGTGCCATCAAAACATCTTTTGTTCCTCTCCGTCCATAAGCACCACAAAATACAGGCTGGAACCAAAGACCAGATCTGCTTGACGGACTTCCCAACTTTCCAAGAACTCCAACACACAAAAGCCTCTCTCAATGATCTTGGCATGACCCAAGTGAGTCCAAAAAGTGAGAAGAACATGTTCCATAGGCCTGTTGCAACTGTGCAATGAAGGAACAAGTGATTAATAAATTCTGAGTTGCACAAGCACATGTAGCATCTGTTGACTATTTGGAATTTCCTCCTCATGAGATTATTCGGAGTCAAGCAAGAGTCTTTAAGAGTAATCCAACTGAAACAAATAACTTTAGGTGGTAACTTAGTTCTCCAGATTAATTTCCATGGCCATTGATCAATTACGGTCTTCTTGGAGCTTTGTTGAAGGTAGCATGCTTTAACTGTGTAGGATCCATCCCTGCTATGTCTCCAGATAAGTTTGTCCCTGCGTTGACTGTTGATTGCACTAGTCTGAATGGTGGCCATAAGGCTAAAAACCTCTTCCAACTCCCAGTCATTAAGATTTCTCCTTAGGATCAGATTCCACACATTGTCTTCCCTGTACTGCGAGATGGTTGAGTCTGGATGAGATGCAATCTGGAAAATGCTTGGAAAAACATTCATTAGAGGAGTGTCTACTAGCCAAATCTCTTTCCAAAACTGAATATGTTCCCCATTTCCCACCATAAGTGAGGCATCACTGAAGAATATTTCCCACAGTTTCCTTATATCTCTCCAGACCCCCGTGCCATAAGAGGTACTGACTTTATTTGAGCACCAATGACTATCACTACCATACTTTGCTTGGATCACTTCCTTCCACAAGCCAGCCGCCTCTTGATTGTATCTCCAGTGCCACTTCAATAGCAAGCACTTGTTATGTAAGGCCAAGTTTTTTATCCCCAATCCTCCATATTGTTTTGGCAAAGTGACTTTGGCCCATTTAACAAGGTGAATTTTGTGGTCCTTGTTGTTGCTTTCCCAGAGAAAGTCTCTCCTGATTTTGTCAAGTCGCTGTTTCACCTTAGTTGGCATAAGGAGTAAGGACATAAAATAGGTGGGAATGCTGTCCAATACACTATTGATGAGTGTTAATCTCCCCCCTAGAGAGAGGTATTGTTGTTGCCAGGAGGCTAACCTTCTCTCAAACTTTTCCACAATCACATTCCAAACTTGAGATGATCTATTCATAGCACCCAAAGGCACACCCAAGTAAGTGGTGGGAAAGGAGCCAGTAGGGCAACACATGATAGCTGCCATATCTTCCAGATCAGGGACCTCATTTACAGGGTATATAGTGCTCTTGGACATGTTGATGTGGAGACCTGACAATGCTTCAAAGAGCATAAGGGTGAGACTAAGATATTGCACTTGAGATTTCTTAGCTCCACAGAAAACCAAGGTGTCATCAGCAAATAAAAGATGTGAGATCGAGACTGGTGGACCATAACCATTGCCCACCTCAAAGCCTTCTATCCATTGAAGTTGTTTAGCCTTCTCCAACATCCTACTCAAACCCTCCATAGCCAGAATAAAAAGGAAGGGTGATAAGGGATCCCCTTGTCTGATGCCTCTTATCAGGAGAGAAAAAACCCACAGGACTTCTATTCACTAGTACAGAATACTTTATGGTGGAGAAGCTATACTTGATCCACCGAATCCATCTCTCTCCAAATCCCATTTGCCTTAGGATTGAAATAAGGAAGGACCAACTCAATTTATCAAACGCCTTCTCAATATCAAGTTTAAAAAGCAGTCCTGGAGTACCACTTTTCTGCTTCCAATCTAGAACTTCATTGGCATTAAGTGTTGCATCAGTGATTTGCCTTCCCCGAACAAAAGCATTCTGAAAACCAGAGACTAGATTCCCAATCACCTGCTTTAGCCTTTCTGAGAGCACTTTGGCTAAAATTTTGTACACACTACCAATAAGACTGGTAGGCCTAAAATCCTTAAGTTCTATCGCACCTTTCTTTTTAGGGACAAGTGCAATAAAAGAGGCATTAAAAGATTTCACCATGTGGCAATTGTTGTGAAAGTGATTGAGCGCACCCAAAATATCTTGCTTGAGAATTCCCCAGCACTTCTGATAAAACCCCATAGAGAAGCCATCTGGCCCTGGACTTTTGTCTGGGGCACATGAGTTGATTGCACTCAATATTTCTTCTTCTTCAACGGCCTGCTCCAAAGCATTCTTCTCTTCAGAACTCAAACTGCCCAGGTCCTCAAAAGAAGCAGTAGGCCTCCATGATTCGTTTTCAGAGTATAACTCTTGGTAGAAGTCAAGAATTACCTCTTTCACCTGCTCTTTTCCTTCAATGAGGTCATCTCCTACCTGCAATCTGTCAATGTGGTTGTATCTCCTGTGGGAGTTGGCTATTCTTTGAAAGTATTTTGTTTTCCTATCCCCCTCTTTTAACCATAGACACCGCGATATTTGTCTCCAAGAGGTTTCCTCTGCCTTTGCTAATTGTTGAATCTCTAGTTGTAATTGCAATATTTTGTTCTTTTCAACTTGAGACCGGACCCTTCCTTCAGTTGCTTGTTCTGTCAGCAGAAGATCATCCATGGCTTTACTGATTCTGGAATTTAGCTTACCAAAGACCTCCTTGTTCCAGGTAACAAGGTCTTTCTTCAAAAAATTTAATTTCTGGGAGAGTATAAAGTCTGGAGAGCCATTTACTATATAACCTTGCCACCATTTTTTTACCATATCATGAAAACCTTCATGCTGCAGCCACATGTTCTCGAATTTGAAGTAGGAAGGATCAGAAGTCCAATCGCCACTCTCTAGGGCTAAGGGACTGTGGTCAGAGAGAACCCTTGGTAGGGCCACCTGCTTCACAACTCCAAAGAATTCATTCCATTCAGCGGAAATTAAGAACCTATCAATTCTGGAAGCCTGCAGAAAGTCCTCTCCCCTTGTCCATGTATAAGTTGCACCATGCAAGGGGAGATCAATAAGACCCATGTCTTGAATAAATTCAGAGAACGAATGGTCATGCCCAATGTCCTTGTGACTTTGTTCCTGACCCTCAATTTTTGTAAGTTATAATCTTCATTCCCAAATCTTGAAATCATTTTTGTGGATTTATGGTTTGTTCTGAATTCACATGGTCTTTGACAATGCAAAAGTGTATTACAGTTCGGATTGTTGACGCTACTTTTTTTTTAATGTTTTATGCCAAACATTTACAACTAGAATGTCCCTACATATATACAAATAAGCCCCCATTCTAGAATATTGTACACTAGTAGAATGTTCTAAGGACTTTCCATGTAAATGCATGGAATTCTAAGGTCTTTCAAATGAATTCTCCACATATCTCTAGAACCTTCTACTATGAAATAGCCTTCATGTAAGCTACATGGACAATTTTATGCCACAGGGTGCCTATGTGGCGCGATGACATGGCGGGTCATCACAATAAACGCCAAATTCTCATGCCATATCATCAAACCTCACCTGGGCCTCTCGGGCCCCAATTCAAACATACCACAAGTTCAAAATCATCATAACAACCTATTAAAATCTTCAAATAAAAAATCCAAGCGTATTTCTCATAATGTTGACTTTGGTCAACTCCTATGTTGCTTGGACCCTCCAAAAATGTTGCCGCACCCGTATCGTATTCTTCAAAAGTGCACTACCTTTGGAGGATCCGACATGCACCCGTTGATATTTTTTAAGAGTCTGAGCAACATAGGTCAACTAAGAACTTCAAGTCACTAGTTTAGGTTCAAGTGTTCCAAAACGCATCTGATCCCCTCGAGACCCGTGTTACTCATACCGGCAAGTCATAAGTCACTAAATGAACCTACGAGATGTCTCAAATTCGGATGGGTAGTCTCAAATTGGGGGAAAGGGTTATAGAACTCAAAACGTGCGATTGGGTCATCATAGGAAAAGAGAAGGTCATATTGAAGAAGAATCACCACATAGCAAAAGATATTTCACAAGAGCAGAAAATAGGAGACGGAAAAATAGGTTCAAAAACAAGTATAATGAATAGTTGTAGATTAGAGAAAACAAAAATTTGCACAAATCATTAAACCTTCTAACCATTTTACATCACCATAATTTCCCATAAGAAAAAGAATTGTTTTTGTACACATTAAGCCTTCTAGACATTTTACCTCACCATAATTTACCATTAAAATCCAATTTCTTCTTTTAAGGCCACCATCTTTTGTCTACCCGTATCTTGCCAAGAAATACCACTATCCTATGCCATGCAAGTTACTATTCAAGTGTTCCTTTGTCATAAAAAGAAAAATATTCCATGTCTTGCCATAAAAATCTGACTATCCTATGCCATGAAAGTTACTATTCAAGGGTTCTCTTGTCCATGTAATTTACCCCTTTGTCATAAGACTTGTTCTCTAGTTCATGAAGAGATTCCTACACTGTCTAAGACCTTCAATTTGCTTATTTCTTTGATGATAAAGTGAAATTATCCTATTCTGTGCTGCTCCATGTTTCTTCCTTTCCTAATATGAGGTGATGCGAGGGGGAATCACAATGCTGCTTTCGGAAAGAGGGCTCCTAGCAGAGAATAAGAAGGAAGGCGCAAAAGGGTTGGCGATTTGGCATGGCTTATAGTGGACAAGTTGGAGAGAGGCAGTCAGTAGATGAGGCATTACGGCTGCCCATTTGATCTCTTCTTAACCTTAATAAATTATGTTAATTCCTTTTTCTCCCATTAAACTCGTGAAAATTCTTTCTTCCCCTAAACATCATGTTAATGCCGCTTGACTTTTCTGTTAACGTTGACAAGATCAGCATGGACTTGGAATTCAACTGTTTCTTTCAGAAAGTAATGGTTCCATTGACATGACTTGAAGTTTGGTTGACCAAAATCTGGTACCATTTCTCTTGTATTTCTTACTAGAAAGAAACAAAACATAGAATGGTAAAGTTGACATTATTTGGTGTACCTAGTTAAAAGGAGAATTGAGTTCCGAAAGAAGATGCTGCTACTTGTTAGTACTTATTTGGGAGAGTAGGTCTTTTATACAAGATCGACATGTTTCCTATGTGTACCTAGTATCTGTCAAAACTCTTGACTTATAATTGAAGTATCTATACAAGTGTAAGACTGAAGATAAACTGTGTTTGACTTTATCTCTTGTGACATTTTGTGGACATATGATGTATACAGTCTCCAATAAAAAATTGCTTCATATTTAAATTATTCAATCATTTCTTTCTCTTTCTCATTGTACTTGGATCTGATTATTTTGTTTTCCGGCAAGTGTGTCTAGATATGAATATTTTGCTGGGGTCTGATTCTTGAAGATAGAACTCTGACTGCTTGCTGCATTGCAACAGTGATTGTTGGAGAGGTTGCTAATTTTGCTGCTTATGCATTTGCCCCTGCTATTTTAGTCACTCCTCTTGGTGCACTCAGTATTATTATCAGGTATGGTTAGTCACTCCTCTTGGTGCACTCAGTATTATTATCAGGTATGGGAAAAGTTTTAACTCATTCAGAGTTCTAACTTTATGGTTTGATTATTGACGAGTTTGTGTGTAAACCACAGTGCTGTGCTTGCACGTATTATTTTGAGAGAGAAGCTACACACCTTTGGAATTTTAGGTTGTGCTTTATGTGTTGTTGGGTCCACCACAATAGTGCTGCATGCTCCACAAGAACGTGAGATTCAATCTGTGAAGGAAGTGTGGGATCTTGCTACTGAACCAGGTAGTTTCTTTGTTCATATTGTTGATGGTGTTTGTTCCTTCTCCTTTTCTACCTGATCTCTCAAGCTTAACATTTTTCAAATCTGCTGCAGCTTTTCTCCTCTACGCAGTGGTGGTGATAATAGCTGTCCTAATTCTTATATTCCACTATCTTCCCCAATATGGGCAAACACACATTATGTTTTATATAGGAGTGTGCTCACTAATGGGTTCTTTATCGGTATGTAACTGTTCCTTTCCTGCTTTGGTTCTTCCAATTAATTGCGTATTTGTATCTTTCTAAAAAAAGAATTGTGTATTTGTGTTTGTCCTATTTCCTACATGTATTTTTTTTATTGAGATTTCAGCTTTGCTGTGACAGGTTATGAGTGTCAAAGCACTTGGAATTGCTTTGAAATTGACATTATCAGGAACAAATCAGCTAATATATCCAGAGACTTGGGCTTTTACTTTGATTGTCATTGTGTGTGTTCTTACCCAAATGAATTACTTAAATAAGGTGTGTCCTCCTTATATCCTTATTTTCTTCCTATGTTCTTCCAACATATTTGCTATCTGCTTAATGAATTTGTGCTCTACGTTCTTCCAATTAATCTGCAGTTTGCTTAATAAATTTGTGCATATCTTGCTACTATTATGCCAAAACTTGTTCAAGGCTCAAACTTCCTCTGTTTCTTGAAAATATCCTTTTTATATTTAAAATATCATGGGAGAACGAGAAAAAATAGTTGTTACTTTGTGCAACTAGTATATGTATGCATGGATATTATTAAAATATTATTTCTAATCATTTTAGATTGCGATATCGTATTTGAGCATGTTAAATCATAAGACCTTACAGAAGTCCAATTATTGTATTGTTCGTTGATTAAATCTATTTCCCTCCTTCCCCTGCTCCCCATCCCCATAACCAATTCTATATAATCAGAGACAATGAATCATGTGATTGTCAAATAACTTTACATTTCATATTTTTCTTTATTATATTATTTACCATTTAAAATTATTAGATTGTTAGTATTGGTTTTTATTAGCTTATCACTTTTTTGATAAGGAATTTTTTTTCTTGATAATGTATTAGCTTATCACTTGACTTACTATAATTATCAAATGCTCTTCTTATTAATATAAAACAAATATATTTATTTTGTTTACTAGTGAGTTATTAATTTTTATTTTATGTTCACATCTCTTCAATTTAATTATGGACAATAATTTGTATATTATCTAACTATTGTGTAACTTTTCAATAGCTTGCCACTTTACCTAAAATCCTTACTTAATGTTACCCGTTTAAAAAAAAAACCCTAAACTCCTTACTTATTGTTTGTTTTTAATATAATATAATTAAATATGTATTTTTCATATTTTCAGGAAATAAGATTTATTTCAAAACTTTTATTCCATTGCTCAAAATTTCCCCATTATATAGATTTATCTATCATATTTTATTTTAATTATAACTTGGTGTCATTACAAAATATAAATAGAGTTGTTAGTTGGCTATTTATTTTAAATTAATTTCGTATAATTGCAAAATATAAATAGAGATATTGGTTAGTTTTTTATTTACTTACATTTTATTATAGATAAATTTTGTATAACGTGAAATTAAAATTGATAAGTTTTGTTATGCATAACAAAGATGATAAAATGAAATATATATTAGAAGAAGACTCCAATATAATCTAGTCTACTAGAAGTGGTTATGGTTTAAAATTCTATAACAAATACTATTAATTGTACTTAACAAAAGGATGGAGCTCATTATTCCAATTCAAATTTCAATTAAACACAAAATTGAAAATCAAGTCAATAATATATTCTTAAAAAATAATATATATTTCAAAAATCAAAATTCTAAATCCTATTTATCCTTTTCTTATCATGAGCATACCTATCTAGATAGTCCTATAAAAAAGTTAACATCATTCAAGATAATTTATTTTTAAACCAATTTCAGATAAGACAATAAAAAGGGGATAATATTATATCTAACGGGGATAATATTATATCAAACATCTAAGCTATCTTTAGGAAATATATTTCTTATAGTGTAGTCCAACTTTTAGATTCTTAGGAAATATATTGATTCGAAATTCAAATATTTTATCTTTTAGTTCTATTTTAAATTCGAATTTTTATGTTTATTCAAAAAGTCTATCTTTTTATTCAAATTTTGTTTTTATCAATTCCATAATATACTCTTTCCATTTAAATATAAGTTATTTTTTTTTTTAATTTCTATTCAAATTCTTTATTTCATTCCTTTTAAATTCTAAAAACATTGTGGTGGCCTGTTTTATATTAAATAGAAGAATTAACTTAAATAATCATTTACCCGATTATTTAAATTCAGTAAAATGATTACTTTTGTGATAATAATTTAATTTCAATATGATTTCTAATTAGACCAGATTGATACTATTGATGGATATATAAAAATAAGACACTTTTAAATAAAATACTACTTATTAGAACTCTTCCGAGGTGGAACTTGCCGTTCAATTTCGTTAAGAACTATCATTTCAATAATTTTGTAAGTAAATAAAGTATGAGTGAATGAGTACATCAAATAATAAAATACTGTATATATAGATAGATATAAAATAAATAAAATATACATGCAATCATAATAGCCACATAAGTTAGTATACCAAAGGAAAAAGAAAAAAAATAAATAACAAAATAACATAACACAAGACAATCTTTTAGATGCGCAGTGCTTCCAAGATATTGAATGAAATTTTTTAGCCACTATGCTACACCAAATGTTACGACAAAAATAGTACAATGCATTTAAAGAAAGATTAATCAAATACCTTTGTGAATGAACTATCACAAAAAAGTTCTTTCAAGATAAGAAAACTCTAAATCTGAAAATAATTAAACATAAAAAGAGAAGAAGAAAAAAAAAACTTACATCTCTTATATGTCACTAAAGGTGTGTGTGTGTGGAACTTAGAAGTATGCTAACTATTAACCAAAATTCAAATTTCTCCTAGGCATGATTCCCATCGACCATTCTCTCTCCTACTTCCTAGGAGAGTAGAAGCCCTCCTCTCCGACAACCTTAGTCTGAGTCTGCCCTTTTCTTATAAGCCACTAATAGCCACCCACTGTGGTTATAGTTCAAACACCCTTGAAATTCTAAGATTGTGGAAAATATAATTTACTTTAATGCTGGTTTCAAGTCTTTCGACATCACCAGATGGGATGCTGTGAAGTGGTAGTGGTACAAGTGGGTAGAGTAGGAAGATGATGTGTAGGTCATCATTGAGTAGGAAGGCAATGGAGTGGCTATGTTTCTGTCTAAAGGAAGCATCAAAGGACAATAAGAAGGAAAGTAGAAGATGGAAGTTGGCAGAACGCAAAGCTGAGCTTTTTTGCACGAGGAAAAACAATATGGGAGATTTATAAGCATCATATCTCTAAATGGAGGAGGTTGTACATGCCTAATCATCCCCGAACAAGCACTAAATGCTGGGTGGTTGGATATTGCTTTTAAGATTTGATAAGTTCATTAAATGCTAGAAGAAGAAGGAAATTTCACTCTCTAGGGTGACGTCTGCCGACTACCCTTATGCGAGGGCTCTACAAGAGAGTAAATGGCAGTCAAGGAACCTATGTGATGCTGAGGTCAGTTACAAGGAAGGAAAGATTGAGATACTGTTATAATACAACTATATGATAATGAGTTGCTCGAGAGATGCTTAGTTGGTTTTTGCACGGAGAGGAGACAAAGGGAAGACCAACTCTGGTTGATATTTGAAGGTGGTCATCTTCAAATTGGACAAGGCTTTTGGAGTCAATATATATGAATTGAGCAGCGAGATGTTATTGTTTGAATTCCCAAACAGATTCATGACAGAACAGACAAGATAAGGCCAGTGGAGATGGAAGAACTACAAATTCTAATTTGAATGGTGGAAGCCAACTACAAGATGTACACTTGTAGTTTCTGAAGTTAAGGAAACCTGGATTAGGGTTGTGGGAATTCCATGACACCTTTGGTCAATATTTCAAGAAATAGGCGAGGTCTATGGGGGTTGGATTACTAAGGAGAAGGAAATAGAACTCAAGAATCATATGAAGTGGGCTCAAACTCTGGTGGGAAATAATGGGAGAAGCATATTAAAGGAAGTAGTGGTGGCACATAAAGGAGTTATCTTCCACTTTCTGATCTGGGTGGAATGAAAACCTATGTTCGAATTGTCATTGTAAAAAGAAATTACAGCCGCCGGAGAAGAAGCGTCTTTCTACCATGAGATGGGTATTAACCGGCAGATCTTCCTGTGATGATGTATGGGAATCCCCTCAATTTAGGGATTTTGATTGGAGTAGGCACGTGGACAGCAAGCTAGCGACAATTGGGAGAGCCAATTCTCACATCATATGTGAAGGGGGCACATGAGTCAGTTAAAGGAATTATAGTTAAAGGAATTATCTGACATGGGCCATGTACACAGGCCTAATGGGAAACAACCAATAAAAATGCTAAAAGGCCCAGATCTGGCTGGGCTTGTTATAACAAATAATTTCCAAAGAGAAAAAGAAGGAGAAACCAAAGCCAGAAGGTGAATCTCTTTGGAGATGACATATCAACGCACATGTCTCTACATGCAGCAGTGCCCATTGAAGAACAGATAAATTCTTAGGCAGAGACAGTTTTGTGGATTATGGTTAACACCAATGGGGAACCCTCGATGGAAACAGGTGAGGAAAAAAGATCAGCAAGAAGAGAGAAATTGCGAGCTTCTTAGAGCAGACACAAGTAGTAGTGGAATAACATCATAGTGCACGGACACAACAATTGTGAATTTGGGGGTGGAGGAGGTGGATCCTATAGTGATGCAACAACATCATATCACATAGGAAAATGAAAGAGACACTTTCAACTGTGTTCAACAAAATTTGATCACACTAGGGAGAATTTTTGGGATTGATTTCCAAGGGTACGAAGAGGAGGCTACTGAACTACTAATGCAGATTGATAGTTGTAGACAAGTAAGGAGAATGGAGCTGGATGTGGAAATTAAGAAGATAAAGATCAAGGGTGCACAACAATTAAAGAATCTTGTAGCTTTTGATGTTAAATTCAAGAGTTCTGGGAAGAGGAACATGGGGAGGCTCACTAGCTCTAGTGCTTGATGAATTTCAAACTAATGTCTTGGAATGTTATGTGGGGTTGAATAATAGAGATAAGAGGAGATTAGTAAACAATCTTATAATGGGATGGAAGGCGGATATTATATGTCTGCAAGAGACAAAATTGGAAGGGAATGTTGTTGAGGTGGTTAAACAAGTTTGGGGAGGGAGATGGATTAGACAAGCTGCATTGGAAGCAAACGGAACAAGAGGGGGATCATCTTATTGTGGGATGAAAGGGCTTGGAAGGGTGAGGTGCTTGAAATTGGCACATACTCTATCACATGCAAGTTTGAATCACAACTCCAAAATTTTAATTGTCACATAACAAATGTGTACGTACCAAACTGC